TATTTTATTATATATATAAACTTTTATATGTGTAAGTGTATGTCTTTGTAAATTATGTTATATGAATGGATTTGTGTTTTAACTTATATTTTTTGCTACAAGTATGAACTCATGTATTTTCTTATATATATGTACCTTATGTGAACTAAAGTATGTGTTTGAAATATGTTTAATTATATTTTAATCTGTATCTAATTTTACAATATTCAATGAGTATATAAATATATTTGTAGGTATATCTATATTTAGCAGGTCAGATAATAGGTATAGATTATCAATACTTGAAAAGGTATTGTGTATCAAAGTCTTGTATGTAATTGTATCTACTCACCTCTAAAAAATATAATAGATATTTTGTGATTAAAAAAATCAAAATTTTTAATTCCGACAAGGAAAATAGATGAGATATAGTATAAGTTTTATAAGTTTCATTTATCATGTGGTGTATATTATATTTCATGATATTTTAAATATCAAAATATCTTAATAGTTATTTTTTTTATGTAAGAATGGTTTTTTTTTCTTTTTTAAGTTGGTAATGAAAGTATCAAAAATACCTTTAATAAATAAGAATAATTTAAAAGATTAAAATACTTTCACTAGAATAAGAAAATAAAGAAGACTTGTAAAATAATTAATTAAACTATTGACGGAAAACAATAGTTCATCACCCGTATAAAAGATTCAAACCCACATTCCAAATGGGAAGGATATAATCATCATTAATCATTACATCACCACCAAGACCATAATCCTCTGGTAACTACATTCTTAAAAAAGGACGGAACTACATGGAAATGTGTTTAAGCACGGCCCTACCCGAGCCTTAAAAAATATGAAATAAAAAGATTTAGTAGTAAGGTTAAAAAAAAAAAAAAGAAGAAGTTAAAGACTCTACCATTAATCTACCGGCGAGGTAAAACAATGTTCTTAAACTCAGCGTTAAAAGAAGAAAGGCTTTGCCCTTAGGTTCTCTCTGGTTCTGCGAATACTCAGGCAACACATCCATCAAGTTTTGTAAATTATAAAAGTTCTTATTGCACCGAGTCATGACTCTTTACAAGCCATATAGAGCAACACACAAAATATATGTTAAAACCCCTTAAGAAGTTTGTGAAAAAAAAAATTCTAAAAAGTTCTTATGCAAAATCATTCACAGCAGACAAAATGCGCGTAGCCTAATTAGCCACGCACAGCAATTAATCCATAAAGGAAGATATTACCAGAATTTGAATTTTTTTTTTTGTTTAAGTACCATTTTGGTCCCTCAACTTTACACTTTGATACCAAAATTGTCTCTCATCTTTAAAAAATATCAAAATTATCCTTAAACTTTTATTTTTTATACCAAAATAATCATTCCATCAGTTAAATGACAAGTGTCACGTTAACTTGCTAGCAAATCAATTTTTTTCTTTGCTTAACTAATGACATGAAAAAAAATACCATAGTTGGCCCATGAGTTGGCATTAGTTGGCATTTTTATTGAATTTTAAAATAATAATTTTTTTTATTCACGTTATCTCTTCTTCCTCTCTCACTTTATCTCTCCTTTACCTTTCCTTTTTCCTTACCTCTACAAACCAGATTTGGGTTCTTTCTCAAGCTTCATCTTCTTCCTTCTTTCCTCCTCCCTCCTCATCCTTCTTCTTTCTTCTTCTTATTCTTTCTTTCTCTCTCTTCTCCCTTCTTCTTCTTCTCTCAAGCCCAGATCTGGGGTTTTTCTCAAACCCAGATCTGGCATTTCAGCAACCTCGCTCACCTTGTCCATCTTGGACGCGCTCGTGGCACTGCTACTCCCCCGTGTTCGAGGTGAAGAAACTGGGTTTGTGAATTTAGACGAGAATCTGTTGTTCGAGGCGTTGAAGCATGTGGACGCAAGGACGCTGGGCATGGCTACCTGCGTGAGCAAGTTGTGGCACAAGATTGCGCAGGATGAGCGGCTCATATTCCATTAATTACTTGAATGGTTGGGCATGGTTGCCTGCGTGAGCAATTTGTTTTTGGATCTTGAATTTTTCATTAATTACTTGAATGGTTGGAAAATTGAAGTTTTCAATATAAAAATTTTGGGTTTTTTACAAATCTGAGGAAGGAGAATGATTGTTGCAGAGGGGAAGGTTTGAGGTGGAGGGAGACAAGATTTTGTCAAATTGGTTCACAATTTTTTTTACAAATCCAAGGAAAATTGAAGGTTTCAACATAAAGATTTTGTTTTTTTTATAGAAATTAAGCCATGGAAATCTGGGTT